AATGGTATTCGGCACTCCCTCACCATGCCATACTCCCCTGCAATGAACGGCATCGCCGAGCGAGCGAACCGCACAATCACGGAGGCGGCACGCGGGTTGCTCATTGAAGCCGGGCTACCCGACTATTTCTGGCCTGATGCGGTGCGGAGCGCGTGTGTGGCCAAGAACAGAGCCTTGACTCATGTGGGAGCAGACAAATGGGTGCCCTATGTGGAGTGGCTAGGAAGGAAGCCAAAGGTGGATATGCTTCGGGTGTTCGGGTGCATGTGCATGGCGCTCGTGCCTAAGCATCTTCGGCACAACAAGCTTGGTGCCAAGGCGGTGTGGGCCGTGCACTTGGGCATGGCTCAAAACAGCAAGGGATGGCTTCTTTGGGACCCATTCACCAAGAAGTTCTTGGTGAGCAGGGACTGCAAGTTCATGGAGAACTTCATGTACAAGGATTGGAAGGCGGAGAATGAGGCGAAGATAGGCGTGCGGTTTGGGGAGGTGAAGAGTTCCGGTTTGGAGCATGTGGAGCTGCCTTTGGAGCTGAGCAGCGGCAGCACAACCACAAGGCAATCCTCCCTTGTGAATGGGGGAGAGGAGGCCAATGATGCAGAGGAAGAAGAGGAGGAGGTGCAGCAAGTGAGCGAGCGTGCACCGTCACTCCCTTCCCGTACTACGAGTGCTCCACGGATTCGAGCCACACCGCAGCAACGCCAAGGCCTTCAAGTCCCTGCAGCTGAGGAGGAAGGAAGGGGGAAGAGGAGAGTTCAACCCCCTAATAGGCTGACCTATGATGCGCCGGGAAAGCAGGGCAAGACAGCCCTGGCCGGAGCGGCAATGATGGTCGGAGACGATGAGGAGAGTGACTACGAGGAGTGTGCCTTCGCGTTCTTCTCTCCGGTGGAGATGCCGGGAGAACCAGCAACTCTCAAGGAGGCTTTGGAGAGTAGTGATGCTGAGGAGTGGAAGAAGGCCATGGAGAGTGAGCTGAAGAGCATCGAGGAGAATGACACGTTTGAATTGGTGGAGCTACCGGAGGGGCGTACGGCGATAACGTCCAAGTGGCTCTTCAAAATCAAGTCGGATGCCGACGGCAAGATCGAGCGCTACAAGTCTAGGCTTGTAGCCAAGGGGTACCAGGAGAAGGAGAAGGTGGACTTCAAGGAGCTGTTTGCCCCTGTGGTGAAGCCGACGACGCTGCGAACCCTATTCGCGGGAGCCGCCATCAAAGGATGGGTAGTAAAGCAAATGGACATCGTAATGGCATTCCTTAACGGCATCCTTGAGGAGGAGATTTTTATGGCGCAGCCAGAGGGGTTTGATGATGGTAGTGGCAGAGTGTGGAAGCTGAAGAAGGCCCTCTATGGGCTGAAGCAGGCCCCTAGGCAATGGTACATGAAGCTGCGCGAAGTGTTGGAGGGGATCGGCTTCACTCCCTCAACGGCCGATCACTCCTTGTTCATGCTTGGCGAGGGGGAGCAGAGGAGTTTCATGGTGGTTTATGTGGATGACATCCTCATTTTCTCACCCTCTTCTGACCTTGTGAAGGAGGTGATGCTGAAGCTTCAAGACAAGTTCAAGTGCAAGGCCCTTGGTGACGTGAGCTTCTACCTTGGGCTCCACATCGAACGAGATGTGGAGAAGCGGTGCATGCGGGTGCATCAACGAAAGTACCTGGAGGCATTGGCTACCAACTTTGGGCAGAGTGAAGGCCATGTGGCTACACCCTTTCCCTCTGGGTTCAAGTGTGTGAAGGGACCAGAGGAGGAGAGCGTTGGTGAAGAGGAGAGGCGCCGATTTCACTCGTTGGTGGGCAGCCTCATGTATGCGGCGGTAAACACCCGACCGGACGTCGCGTTTGCTACCGGGCAGCTGGCTAGGGTTGTGCAATGCCCTAATGAGGAGCAGGTAGCAGCTGGAATGAGGGTGGCCAAGTATCTTGGCCAAACACCGACCGTTGGGCTGCAATACTCGGCGGCGGCACAAAGGCGCCAAAAGGGCGCGGATGGTGTTGAACCCGGGCGTTTGTTCCTCACCGCCTACTCGGATGCTTCATATGCATCAGAACCAGAGGACATGACAAGTGTGGGAGGCTTCATATGCTGTGTTGGTGGAGGCCCAACTGCTTGGGAGAGCAAGAAGCAGGTTGACCAAGCTTTGAGCTCGGTGGAGTCCGAGTACATGGCACTCTTCCGTGCCGTACGGGAGATTGTGTGGCAGCGGCGTTTGTTGGCTGAATTGGGGGAGGAGCAGCAAGGACCTACCCCACTGTACTGTGACAGCCAGGGTGCCATTGCTCTTGCTAAGAACCCTGTGTTGCATGGACTCACGAAGCACATGAGGGTGAAGTGGCATTGGACGAGGAGCATGGTAACCGCGGGTGAAGTTGAGTTGCGCTACGTGAAGACCACGGGGCAGCCGGCTGACATGATGACCAAGAGGCTGGTGGAGCAGCAGCATTGGAAGTGTTGCAAGCTGGCTGGGATGGCTCTGAACTGAGAGAGCAACATATCCTAAGGCCAACAATCCGAGGGGGAGTTTGTTGGTGCAACCCTACGGTTTGCACTCGGCTTGTTGTCCGTGTGCGTGAATGTGTGTGTGTATGGAATGGTATGAGGGCATGGGATAATATATATTTCATGCTTATAATTGTGTGTGAATGTCGAGTCATGATGTCGAGTGTGTGTGTCGAGTCAATAGCGAGTTATCGCTAGACGCGTGTTACGCGGTCGTTTGTGTCTCGCGCGCGGTTTCTATTTTGTCGTGCGCGGTTTCTATTTTGTCCTGTGTCGAACGTTCGGCGTGTCGCAGGTGTGTGCAGCAGACCCATCAAGAACTCAAGGATGAGTTTGTGATGAAGAGCCCGAGCCTTGGTGTCAAGCCTCAAGTGATTTCGAAGCTTGCCAAAAGGGTACACCTCAAGATATTGAAGATAGTTACATTACTTTGTGTAGTGTAACATTTCACTTGGTGTAGGCCCTAGTGAAGGGTAGTTTCGAGACCCTTCGTGGTTGGGGACAGTGTGGCACTGTTCCACATCACTGTACCTCGGCTCTTGGGGTTTGTAGGAGCTGGGAGTCATTCCCAACTCGTAACTCTTCCTATCTTGTGTTCTAAGACTATAGTGGCTGCCATAGTACCGTTCGTTCAAACCGACACCGCGTCGTCAATTCTTTATCAAATCGTGCAATCTAAATTGCTAATTGTAGACGACGTGAAGACGCTCCAGATCCAATTTGAATCAAGTCATTTGCAGCTGTGAGCAGAACGCTATCAACGTTTGAAGCCGCTGTGCAGAAATCCGTCTGTGCTCTCTATCTTTCGTTTTAGGCACATTCAAGCCTATTGTGACTATAACAGGCGGATAAGAAAATCCAACACTACGCTAGCCGGCCTGACACGGTGGGATTCTTTCCCCTGGCTGTGGAGACGTACGGGTGCCCATGTGCGGAGGTACCGGTCTTCCTGAAATTGCTGGCGGATTTAGCTGCTAGGCGACACTTCAACGCCGAACCTAACTCCTATCACGCAGCTAGATTCCTCCACCTCTTTCGGCAGAGATGGTCAGTAGCGCTGTAGCGGGCCCAGTCGGTGGGTTACCTTATGAAGTCCTGCCAAGCAGCCCTGGCAGAGCACCCACCGGTTGGGGGAACGCAACACGAACTCCACCTCGGTGATAGCTTTACAGTGATTGAGCCCCTAGTGGAAGTTTAAAGGGGGCAGGCCGCAGGTTTCTTGTTAGCTTGTTTGGTTGTTCTTAGGTTAGTCTATCCTTGTTGTGTACCTGCCCGTAGGTACCTCCGTAAGTCCCGCACAGCCGCGGGCGAATAATCAGCCTTGTTGTCGTCGACGCGAGCGAAAAAAATCAGCCACCCAACTGAATAATGAGAGGCAAGAGGCCAAGAGGGACCTCTTATACTAAGGAACAGAGAGGGCAGAGGGCTAAGGGCAGAGGACCCCTCTCTCTCTCTCTCTCTCTCTCTCTCTCTCTCTCTCTCTCTCTCTCTCTCTCTCTCTAATGGTCCGTATATTGATAAGCCAGGAGGGTACACACATACAAACAACAACGGCAGGGTGCTAACATGCAATGGAGCCTTGGCTAACCAATCCCTCTAAGTCACCTACAGCTCAAGAAGAGGCTCCAGGACAGTAAAACAGTCCCCCAGGTATAATTCCTGCCCTATCCCTCCTACCGGTGGTTTCTCTGCAGCAGCCGCCTCCCCTAGTTTGATCATGAGGCCCACGGATTGGGCCCTCTGCAGTGGAACCGACCACCTCTGCCTGAACTGGTGCAAGAACTTCGCGGCATGAAATGATTTCGCGTCGGCTCCGGAACCTGCCCGTAGGTACCTCCGTAAGTCCCGCACAGCCGCGTCCAGTTGCCCCACAGCCCCAACGCCTCCCCGCACGGGCGCGGCCAACACAGGCGCCAGGAGGAGGGCAACCTGGTCAGCCGCGTTAAGACAGTCGTCCCGCGGGCCGTCAAGCAAGGACTCCGCCGGGACGGGCGGAAGTGACCTGTGCGCCAGGGACTGCACAAGCAGGAGCGCACGAAGGCTCTCCGAGAGCCTCCATAACTGCCCCACCGAATAGCCTCCAAGGCCCATTCGAGAGAGAGAGAGGAATAGCCTCTGCCCTCAGCCCCAAGCCTCTGCCCTTGCCTCTAGGCACTACTTAAGGCCTTCCCAAGGCCGTTCTCCTCATTGTTGTTTGGCGGCTGAAAATGTTTCGCTCGTTCGAGAGAGAGCGAGAGAGAGAGAGAGGAATAGCCTCTGCCCTCAGCCCCAAGCCTCTGCCCTTGCCTCTAGGCACTACTTAAGGCCTTCCCAAGGCCGTTCTCCTCATTATTGTTTGGCGGCTGAATTTTTTTCGACGGTGCGGCCTTCGGCCGCGTGTGCGGGGTGGCAAGTGCAAACACAAGCGATTTATAATAAGCAAGGACATACATGCACTGGCGGATCCTACTGTGCACTAGACACACATGACAACAATGGGGCAACCGGAGCCCGCATCTACATGCGGTGAGCTCCAAGGGCGTGAAGAATGCTCGTCAAGGAGCGCCACAGCTCCCGGACCACTAGCGTGCTTGCGCCGATCGCCGCGGCTCCAGATCCTGCGTGTAAGTGCCGCCTCAAGCCCCGGACGGCTTCGTCAAGCTGTCCCGCAGCAGCAGCGCCACCCTCCGCGGGCGCAGCCAGCACGGGCGCCAGCAGCACCGCGAGCTGGTCTGCCGCGTCCAGGCAAGAGTCACGTTGGCGGCCACGGAAGGTCTCAGGAGGGATCACAGGGAGAGACGAGTGGGCCAGCACCTGAATCAGCAGCAGCGCGTGGAGACTGTCAGCGAGGCGGTGGAGCTGTCCGAGAGTCGCCTCGGGAACACGGGTCTGCAGAGGCTGGAGTGCCTCCGCCAGGAACTGGAGCGGCTCTTCTGCACCAACTGGGAGAGCAAACGGAGCCGCCAACGAGCCGCCACCCGCGGCTACAAACTCCACTCCCGAAACGGGCGGAACCGGCGGCAGATGGAGACGAGAGCCAGGAGCAGGTGCCGTTACAGCGGGAGAAGGAGCTGGCGGCGCTTGGATCTGAGGGGGAGGCGCAGCAACAGGCTGCGGGTTCGGGGGGAGCGCAGCCGGACGAGGAGCCTCGTGGGCTGGCGAGGCGCGCAGCGAACTGCTCTGGCTCTGCGCCGCCCTCTCCTCCCAAACCGCCCTCGACACTTCCCGCTGAAGATCCGCCATCGTCACGGGCGGGCGATACCCCCCTCCCCCGCCACGAGCACGGGGACCCCTCCAATCCCCCTGACCCACGGGGTGAGCAGGCCAGTGCGACTGTTGCTGGTACCGCCGTGGAGACTCACGCCGGCGTCGAGACGACTAGCGGTCCTGGTGAGGAGCGGGGGAATGGGTGCGAGATGAGCGATGGTCAGGTGACGGAGGGCGTGACGGCTGGCCTGCCGGAGCCACGGCCGTCACAGCAGGGGCGGACTGACCCGCCGCCGCGGGCGCAACCGACGGAGCCGGTTCGCCAGTGGTGGCGGATGCCGCCTTTGGTGACGAAGCAGAGGCCGGCGCAGGCAAGCAGGGGACAGAAGCGGTCGGCGCAACAAGGCCGCCAGGGACAGGTGCAGGGGGCTCAGCAACAGCCCCAGCAGGGGCAGACGCCGACGGCTCGACAAGGGGAGCCGGGAGGCCAGGTGCCGCAGGCGGAGCAGATTGAACAGCAGCGGGAGCGGACGGGCCCGCCTCTGACTCGGCAAGGGGATCCGCGGGTGCGAGGGGAGGAGTCCTTTCAGAGACTGCTGTCACGGGCTTCGGAGCCGGCGGTAGAGGGGGCTTCGTCGCCATGGTCCCCCTTTCGGGCTCCGCCCAAGGCTTGGCGACCACAGTCGACCAGGCGGCAACGAGCTCTGGCGACGGCTCAAGCGCACCGGCAATCACCATCTCAGGGACGAGGACGTCGCGGGCCTGGGGGGCAGGCAGTAAGCGGGACGGGCGGAGGACCGGAAAACGGGTACCAGGCGGAGGCTCGCAGGGCTTTAACCACTTAGGAGGCAACTAATGCAGAGGATGATTTGGGTGACCCCTCTTATAGGGAGGAAACGCTCCCATCAAGCGAGGACGACGAGCAGGAGGAAGTGGGAGTTACGAGAGGGACTGCTGAGAAGAAAGGCATGCAGAAAGTTTAGAACAAGAAAGAGGATTGCACTAGTAAGTGTTGGTGCAACCCTACGGTTTGCATTCGGCTTGTTGTCCGTGTGCGTGCATGCGTGTGTGCATGGAATGGTATGAGGGCATGAAATAATATATATTTCATGTTTACAATAGTGTGTGTATGATGAAGCATGATTTTGAATGTGTGCGTCGAGTCAATAGCGAGTTATCGCTAGTCGCGTGTCACGTCGTCGTTTGCGTGTCGTGTGCGGTTTTCTATTTTGTCGTGTGTGGAACGTTCGGCGTGTCGCAGGTGTGCGCAGCAGACTTCCAAGAACTCAAGGAAGAATTTACCTTGAAGAACCAGAGCCTTGGTTTCAAGATTCAAGTTATTTCGAAGCTCTCCAAAAGGGTAAACTTTAAGATAGTGAGAATAGTTGCATTACTTTGTGTAGTGTAACATTTCTCTTGGTGTAGGCCCTTGTGGAGGGTAGTTTCGAGAACCTTCGTGGTTGGGGACAGTGTGGCACTGTTCCACATCACTGTACCTCGGCTCTTGGGGTTTGTAGGAGCTGGGAGTCATTCCCAACTCGTAACTCTTCCTATCTTGTGTTCTAAGACTATAGTGGCTGCCATAGTACCGTTCGTTAAAACCGACGCTGTGTCGTCAATTCTTTATGAAATCGTGCAATCTAAATTGCTTATTGTAGGCGACGTCAAGACGCTCCAGATCCAATTTGAATCAAGTCATTTGCAGCTGTGAGCAGAACGCTATCAACGTTTGAAGCCGCTGTGCAGAAATCCGTCTGTGCACTCTATCTTTCGTTTTAGGCACATTCAAGGCTATTGTGACTATAACAAGTGGTATCAGAGCCCCTTGGAGCAGTTTCGACAATGTCTGGACCTGAGGAAAGGGGTGGCAGAGTTGCTGGTGGCAGTGGAGAAGCCCAAGCTCAAGGCCAACCCCGTGATTCAGCCATGGCGCCCATGCAACCAAGTCTTGGCCCACCTAGGGATGAGCCTAGGGTGTTTGGGCTTGACAAGTTCAACGGTGACAACTTTGCTGAATGGTCCTTCAAGATGGAGAACATCTTTGACCACTATGACCTGCTGGAGGTGATGGAAGGAACGGAGAAGCGCCCCGAGAACGACCCGGAGAAGAGCCCGTGGGTGCGGAAGAGCGCACAAGGCTATCTCCTACTTGGGCAAGCGTTGGGGAGCAGCCAGATCCGTCACATCAAACCATTCCAGCGTGAACCAGAGAAGGGACCAAAGGCATGGGCTGCTCTCAAGGGTGTACATGCTCCTGCAACAGCGGCGGTAGCGGTGGTGTTGGAACGGCAAATGGCGGCACTACGAATTGAAGAAGACGAAGCGGTTGAAGAAGGGGTGCAGAAATTCTTCGACTTGTTGACGCGGCTTGAGGGAGCTGATTTGAACTACAGTGAGCTCCAAAAGAAGACCAAGTTGCTGGCCTTACTCCCAGAGTCATGGTCCTCTCTCATCATCAACCTCAATCGTGACTTGCCCCACCTCTCGCTCGAAGACGTGAAGCGAGCGATCCTTCAAGAGGATTTCCGTCGCCGTGAGTTGGCGAGTGCGGATGGCGCCGGGGCAGCAAGCATCGGCCGTGGATATGGCCGTGGAAAGGGCAGAGGACGAGGAGGAGGAAGGTTTGGAGGCAGCAACTTCAACGGAGGTCGCGGGAGTAGCGGATACGGCAATGACAACAAGAACAACGGACGCGGTCGCGGACGGTTCGACGGCGAGTGTCATTTTTGCCACAAGAGCAGACACATGTGGCGCGATTGCTACAAACTCCCTGATGGATGGACTCCTGCTCAAGGCCAAGAGGGTAGAGGAGCAGGAGGAGGGAGAGGAAGAGGCCGTGGAGGCCGTGGCGGTCGCGGAGGTGGTGCTGCAAGTATGAAGAGTGCCGGCAACGAGAGCGAGTCGAGGGACGATCGCTTCCCGGGTCAATTCTTCTTCGTGTCCACGCAAGCACCGGCTGGTCCAGAGAATGATGAAAGCTTTGAGGAGCCAGCAGCTGTGGGGAAGGTCACCCTACACTCCCTGGACTATTGGGTGATCGATAGCGGCGCTACCTATAGCATGACACCTCGTGCGGACTTGCTCACCGAACTTGAGCCGTCACCGTTGAAGCATGTGACATCGGCTTTGGGGCAGCGAGCAGAGGTGAAAGGCATGGGCAAGGCCATGTTCAAGGGTGCTGATGGGAAGATGGTGGGCCTCAAGAACGTGCTTTGGGTGCCCAACCTTGCTGCCAACCTGATTTCCGTGCGGCGGTTGCAAAAGGCCGGCATGGACACGAGCTCGAAGGGAGCTAAGACCTACACCGCGAGGCTTGGCGAGCGGATTCTTTGGGACCTTCACGAGTATAGGGATGTCTACAACGAGATGTGGCAAATCCCTGTGGTCCCCATGCCTAAGGAGAGGCAAGTGGCAGCAAGCATCAGCACCAAGGGTGAAGCGGTTGGTAGCGGCGATGGCGCGAACGGTCTCGCTAAGGAGATAAAGTCCAAGAAGTGCAATCTTGGAGGGACCAGCAAGCTCGGTGAACATGAGGAGAGTGGTGCAGCAGCTCAGAAGCAGCACAAGGGTGAGGAGAACCCCAAGGCAGCAGCGGAGGAGGAGTACGGAGAGAACATGTGGGGCACTATTGCGAGTGCGGCATTCTCCAATCCGACTTCGGCTACGGGGGAGTGTGATTGGCTCACCTTGCATCGGCGAATGGGGCATGTGGCCCTGCCCATCTTGCAGCAGCTAGTGAAGAATGAGATGGTTGCTGGCATACGTGTGAAGGGGAAGCCCGATGAGGTACTTGGCTGCCCGACGTGCATGCAAGCCAAGTTCACCCGTTTCCCGTTCTCTAGTTCGGAGGCAACGGCTAAGGCACCACTTGATGAGGTGGTGATGGACGTGGTGGGCCCCCTGAAGCTTGGAGCTGCTGGAGCTGAGTACTTTCTCACCATTGTGGACGTCTACACTCGCATGACTTGGGTGTACGTGCTGTCCAAGAAGAGTGACGTGGCTGAAACGGTGAAGACCGATTGGTTGCCGATGGTGGAGCGGCAACAAGACCGGCTAGTGAAGGCAATCCGCACCGATCGAGGGGGAGAGTTCTTGAGCAAGGAGTTTGGATTGTGGCTGAAGAAGAATGGCATAAGGCACTCCCTTACCATGCCATACTCCCCTGCAATGAATGGCATCGCCGAGCGAGCGAACCGGACAATCACGGAGACGGCGCGCGGGTTGCTCATTGAAGCCGGGCTACCCGAATATTTCTGGCCTGATGCGGTGCAAAGTGCATGTGTGGCCAAGAACAGAGCTTTGACTCATGTGGGAGCAGACAAATGGGTGCCCTATGTGGAGTGGATTGGAAGGAAGCCAAAGGTGGATATGCTTCGGGTGTTCGGGTGCATGTGCATGGCGCTCGTGCCTAAGCATCTTCGGCACAACAAGCTCGGTGCCAAGGCGATATGGGCTGTGCACTTGGGCATGGCTCAAAACAGCAAGGGGTGGCTTCTTTGGGACCCATTCACCAAGAAATTCTTGGTGAGCAGGGACTGCAAATTCATGGAGAATCTGATGTACAAGGATTGGAAGGCGGAGAATGAGGCGAAGATAGGCGTGCGGTTGGGGGACGTGAAGAGTTCCGGTTTGGAGCATGTGGAGCTGCCCTTGGAGCTGAGCACTGGCAGCACCACCACAAGGCAATCTTCCCTTGTGAATGGGGGAGAGGAGGCCAAGGATGCAGAGGAAGAAGAGGAGGAGGTTCAGCAAGTGAGCGAGCGTGCACCGACACTTCCTTCTCGCACTACGAGTGCTCCACGGATCCGAGTCACCCCGCAGCAACGCCAAGGCCTTCATGTCCCTGCAGCTGAGGAAGAAGGAAGGGGCAAAAGGAGAATCCAAGCCCCAAATAGGCTGACCTATGAGGCACTGGGAAAGCCAGCCAAGTCAGCCTTGGCCGGAGCGGCACTTATAGTTGGAGAAGACGAGGAGAGTGACTACGAGGAGTGTGCCTTCGCGTTCTTCTCTCCGGTGGAGATGCCGGGGGAACCAGCAACTCTCAAGGAGGCCTTGGAGAGCAGTGATGCTGAGGAGTGGAAGAAGGCAACGGAGAGTGAGCTGAAGAGCATTGAGGAGAACGGCACATGGGAATTGGTGGAGCTACCGGAGGGGCGTAAGGCGATTACGTCCAAGTGGCTCTTCAAGATCAAGTCCGACGCCGACGGCAAGATCGAGCGCTACAAGTCTAGGCTTGTGGCGAAGGGGTACCAGCAGAAGGAGAAGGTGGACTATAAGGAGTTGTTTGCTCCTGTGGTGAAGCCGACGACGCTGCGAACCCTACTCGCGGGAGCTGCCATCAAAGGATGGGTGGTGAAACAAATGGATGTCACAACGGCATTCCTCAATGGCCTCCTTGAGGAAGAGATTTTCATGGCGCAGCCAGAGGGGTTTGATGATGGTAGTGGCAGAGTTTTGAGGCTGAAGAAGGCCCTTTATGGACTGAAGCAGGCCCCTAGGCAGTGGTACTTGAAGCTGCGAGGAGTTTTGGAGGAGATCGGCTTCACTCCCTCAACGGCCGATCACTCATTGTTCATGCTTGGCGAGGGGGAGAAGAGGAGCTTCATGGTGGTGTACGTGGATGACATCCTCATCTTTTCACCCTCATCTGACCTTGTGAAGGAGGTGATGCTGAAGCTTCAGGACAAGTTTAAGTGTAAGGCCCTTGGTGACGTCAACTTCTACCTTGGGCTTCACAT